TGGCTCTTTGGCAATGTGAACACTTACTATATGAGAAAGTATTTAATAAATAAAATTGAAACAAGAAGACCATGACAATCAACATAACAATCAACATATTTACACCCTGTGATTTTATGAGAAAATCCAATGACATGGAGCAGGAAATCAAAATCTAAGCATTTTATGCACAGCTTTGGAATTTATTACATATATATATGTTGCCACAGAGCAAATGCAATTTTTTTCAATTTCCATTCTTGTTACTAAACAACTTGGAGTTTATCTGAAATCTCTGAAATAGAGCCTGGGATAGCAAATTATCAACTAGCCTCCGCAGGCACTTATAATCATCTTCCAAATACACTTTCAAAAATAATAATTGCCTTTGCAGTCCATCGAGTATCCTTTCAGAAAAATATATTTCCTTTTTAAGCAGAAGATAGAAATATAAGCAATTAAAATGAGTTGTCTAGAACTGCTACATATTAAAGTCCTGCCAAAGCCTCTAATCAGGTTGACATCCTGTTGTATTTTCAAAGCAATATAATTTATTTCTTCTATGTATATTATCAGAGACTCCCTTATTGTCCAGTTTGGAGTTTATTTTTTCTTGTATCATCTGACATTATAATTTAATCAGGATGTTCTTTGCATAGTCTTGCCTTGCAGTTTAATTGCACCTAACATAGTTGTGATGGCAAGTGTGATGGGGATTATATATAGCTGGAAATGCAGAACCCCCAGACCAAACTCAAAAAAGAGCCTGTACAATGCTTGTCGTGACTTCCAGCACAGACAATAATCCAGTCCTTAATCCAACTGCCCTATTCTATTACAGTTGCAAAATTACTTTATTGAAGTATGCAGTTCGATGTTTTAATATAATATCTGTATTTGTGGAAAAAATAATTGTGGATTTCTCTTGTGCTCTGTATTATACCACTTCTCCTTGGCAGGATCAGTTTACACCTACTGGCTCTGGACTCCTTTGGACTCAATGTTTGTAAATGTGCACTGCCAGGACACTGCAGTTTTCATCCCTTAACTACTATCTGGATTATAAAATGGGCAAATGTTCAAGAGGCATGTTTCTGGCAAGATTTCAGTCCAGAACTAAAACACAGGAACACAGGGAATTTTTTAATATTGTCACTGCTTCTAAGGGGCACCTACTTGATTGAATTAAAAGTAATTTATCCGCTACTTACACGATTTAGCTAAGCAGAGAGGTATGAGGCTGAAAAAAAGTCCCTAGAATTCAGCCAAGAAAAATAAACGTTCAGCTGCCAATTAGTAGCTTGTATTTAGTGGCTTTAACAATCTCTTACAATGGAAGTATTATTTGAGAATGTGACTTTCTTTTAAACTCCAAGGCAATATGATAGCTTAGCTATCAATACCCATAGCCAGATTCTCTGCAGCTCTGACACCAGCAGGAAGCTCTTCTCTAATTTTTATCTGAATGCAGGCTTGTCGGTAACAGTTATCGATTTGACTAACAGAGTAAAGCTGCAATAATGTGTTACAATCAGCAATGATACAGACAACTATATTCACTGTATATTGCTATACCCCCCATCTTACTGTACTTCAGGTCTTTAGAGTGAAGAGACACCTTTTTGACCATTGTTGCTGTCTTTTTCTCTTGTCCAAATAAACAAATCTAACAAGTATCATGAGCATTCAACAGAAACACAAGAAAAATACCGTAATCACAGAAGGTTCTGCAAAAGAATTTAAATTTAATCTAATGCAGGCAAGTAGAGGAGAAAGGGGGTGATGGTTAAAATTACATTAGACAAGTAGTCTTTCTTTTCCTTTCATTTAACCTTAGTGTGTATTCTAGTAGGAGCAGCAGAAGCAAAATGAGAGACAGAGGGAAGAAAATGTTAACATAAGATAAGAAAACCAAGTGAAGTATGAAGCAGGGATGACTGGACAAAATATGGTTACATTCTTGAGGCCTGGTATGAGGCAGATATCAGGAACAGGGAGCAGCAGGAAGAGATAAATCATCCCTCTCCTTCCTCCAGGAGATAAACACTTAAAAACAGAATAAAGGGACGACAGTCTAGTAAGATAAGAGGTTAGGAAGAGGCAAATGTCATAGGAGCAAAAATGTAATGTGACGGATGTAAAAAATTCTGTACTTTTCTGTTTTCTGCAATTGCCTCAATTCTTTACTGTACAGTTTCTTAACAAACCAAAGGGTTCAGGATCCCGATCCAGTTCAGGCTGCAAGAATACCAGCTATTTGCACCTCTTTGTTAAGTAGGAGCAAACACGAAAAGAGGATACCAAGCTTGGAGACAAAGATGATGTTAGTATTAGGGTACCAAATCTGAAAAAAGAGATAAGCAGTATTTCTGTGAGAAGAGAGGTGGGGGGAAAAGGAGTATGGGTGGGTTGGCCAGTGAAGAGCAGAAATTCAGAACTGACATGTCTCTGAGTTGCTGCTGGTGATGAGATGGAACTTGGCATCATGATGAACCTCTCTGCTTGTTGTAGCTAAGAATTATCTTATGTGCCCAGATATATGAGTAGCTGTTTACAAAACAGAGTATCTTTCAAGCTTCTCTTGTATGTATAAATGAAACAGAATGGGAAACCAAAAGGGAAAAAAAATACAAAAATCATTGTATCTATTAATAACGCATAGCCATAAATAGGGAACATGTATCAGTATGTCAAATCAAATTAAAGAAAAAAAATTTCCTCCTATGTTCTCAGAAAAGTTTGGATTTTTATGATCAGAAACAAAGTGCTTTGCACATGGCGCTTCAATTTTGAACAAATCAGTTATTACCATCAGAAATACAAGATTAACTGATCTCCGTTCACCTCTTTTGCCTGTGCATCAGTTAAAGAAGAGGTTTACCACTCATGTAACATTAACCTTCTCAATATTTTTAGCAACATCCAGCTCTGGTTGGGCAGAAACAGATTGTGTTTTCTAAAATAATAAACTATTTTCCAGTGATGACAAATCTATTGTCACCTCGATTAATTTCAAGGGGCTGACCATAAGGTAAAAGTCTATGGTGGGCTGGGAAAAACATGACTACTTGGATTAATAGTGACTGCGGGGCTATATAAACATTTAATATACTGAGGGAAACACTTCAGCAAAACACACACACAAAACATGACCTCCACAAATATTTCATGGGTCACTTCCTATTCTACTAGTTTTCTACTCCTGTGGCCTATGAGAAATTTACTGCAAAATTTAAAAATCAGTGGGAAATTACCATAACTATTCTGCAAATCTTCACCTATACTCAGACTGCATATATTTGTCATACATGCTTGCCATAGAACTATATTTGAGATTATTCTTCTAAATACATTACAACTATTTGCACTGAACACCTACTTTCCCCAAGAAACTTTCCATACTTACACGCCTGTTAAACTCTACATGGGGTTAATTCACATAGCCTTAAAATACATCCCCCGGTAAACATCTTAAAACCCCTGTAAAACAATTTGGGACAGAAGGAGGAAATTGTTTTGTTCAACTGAATACAGCTAAGTAGGTGGGAAATGGGATCTGTTCAGGATGCTGCTGCAATTTAATAGAAATGCTGGCACCTAATTTGACAAGAAATAAAATATTAGAGTACGTTTTCATTTATACATCTGATGAGAGTTACTTGAATCCATTGGCTTGCAGGAAACGTGCTGTTATGTTTGGTGTGGAAATGAAATGCATAATGAGGAAATAAAATGCAGTCCATAGGTATTTTATAACATCCAGACCACACTTTGCTGATAAACTAAATATCCTACTCAACTTAAATGCTCAACTAAGAAGACATTACAGGTGATCCCTGCTTCTGAGATCTCAAATTAAAATATCTCTGGGGAAGAGCTATTTGAAGCTTTGACTCTTTTAGAAGCTTTGAATGTGCCAGCTGCTTTGAGAAACTTGTTGCAGTAAGCATGAAGTTAAAGTTCTCAGATATATTTTTCCTGGAAGCAGCAGCATCCTATACCTCTTATATATTCACATGTACATACTAATACACACAAAGGTATGTGTATAAATATATATAGTAAAGAAAACCCCTATTTTTAATAAAATCAGAAATAAACCTTTTTCTGTCTCCCAAGGAACTGTGCATGGACAGTTGGTGTTAATTCTAGCCTCTGGGTCTACAGTTGCAAATTTGCCAAATGGGTACAAATGGATCAAGAGCTGTAAGTACACTCCAGTTTTACCTGCTACCCAACATTCCCCCACATATGCCACATCCACACTTTAACAACAATCTGATGGGCAATGGGAAACTTCAAGCAACAAGAACCACAAGATCGGGGTAGGTGGAAAGAACTATGTTTAAAATGAGGTATTTTAAATTGCATCAGAAAAACATATCAGAAAATAAAAGACAATGCCTAAGAGTGTGACAATAGAGGAGTTCTGCAACAGGCAGATATTTATGATCAGCCTGCATATACAGAAAGTTACAAGTCATGTGCTTTCTGTAATCTCATTATTTTTGTAACTTACAAGTAGTGTTCAGTAATAACTGTAGGTGGTGTATGACTATCTGTTACATTTACCATCACACTTGAATGCAAAAGCTTTACTCTTTTTGCATTCTGGCTATCCTGTTAATACAGCTCTCAAATCACACATATATCAACAATTGTTCATGGTTCTGGCCTGCAGAGCTTCATAAATCTTGCTGAGGCTGCAGAAGGGTCCATTTCCAGTCCCCATATATTGAAGAAATATTAACACGAAGAGGTGCCATCAGGAAGGGTCATCAGGATAAGATTCAAAGAGCTTAAATGACAAAGAATCAGGGTACATTCAGACCCCGCAGTGAGACGCAGTATAGAAGGCGTTCCCTGACCTCTAAGAAGGCTGGAGGAAACAAGGCTTCCGTGTGTGCGTATTTGTTTACCATACGGACAGTTCAGCCACACGGCACTGGAAAGAGAGAGCAACTTCCCTGGGCGGGAATCTCCCTCTCCGGTCCATCGGGCGGGTGGTGCCATCTAGTGAAAGGGAGGGAACCGCGGCCCCGCCGACATCGGCATTGCCAGCGCCCGGAGGAGGATACGTTCGGTGGGATCTTCACCCTCAGCTCGACGCACCTCAGCCTCCTTGTTATCAGGAACCATCAAAGCATGGGTGTAAGCAGTACAAATCCCTGATATTTTCTGGACTGTTCCTTTTTGTGGTTTGGTTGTGTTTGTGGTGTTTTGGCTTCCCCCCACCCCCCCACCCCCCCCCCATTTTTTTTTCCTTTTCTCTATTTATTGGCCTCCATGAAGGCAGATGGGACTTGGGAAACCTTCTTAAATTTCTAGACAAAACTTTTAAAAGACAGAACAGAACTGAAACATGCAGTTCCACAGAAATGACCTCAAACAGCAAGTATCAGAAGTCAGGTGTGGGTATGGGGGGAAGGCTTGATGGAAAAGAGTGGCTGACTTGACAGCTTAAAGATTATTTCCATACAAAGGAAATAATAACAACAGTCTTCAGACATGTAGAAAGCTCATGCTTCTGGCAAAAAAAAAAGAAATAAAAATATTGTGTTGTCTGAGACCAAGGTCAATGAGCCAAGAAACAGTGATCTTACACTTCTGTAAACCTAGATTAGAAATGATATGAAAGTTTCTGATTTTAATGGTATTGATGCACCGAAAAAGCTGCCAAGGAGATTGTATGATCTTTGTTAGTGTAGGTCTTCAAAAAGAGGCCAGAAAATTATCTGTTAGGAACAGCTAACCCATCCCTTTGGCAGTGCAAAATGCAAGATATCTTCCATCGTTCTTTGATGTACTGTGATTACATATAACTAATGGATATGCACCTCCATCTCCATCCATTGCTTTAATGAGTGATGCTAGTGTTCATATTTGTCAGCATCACTTATGAATAATGATGCCTATGGTCACATCAAAAAATTTCCTAGTAGGCAGTAAAAGGAATGCATTCAGCCAGGAGAAGCAGCACAGCTCTGTTAATAACATATTTTTTGCCAGTGTGAACAATACGCAAACAAGGGATCTGAAACTTCATCCAGACAAAGTGACTGCTGACTGCTGACTTCATGCTACTTTCATTGCAGACCATTCCTCTCCCATTTATACCAGCTTATTTGCCATAGGAAGGCTGAGAGAGGAACATTCAATTTCTAATGCTGTTCTTACAAGCACAAAGACCTGTTTATTTTATAGAAGAGTGATCAGCTTGAGAACAAAGAAAAAAAGCTGCTTTCCAGAAATTAAACAAGGTGTGCAGTCTCCATTAAGAATGTTCAAAAAATCACAAAAATTGTGCAAAGCCTATGTGTTGAGTTCACCACTCTCTTATGGAGAATGGAAAGGAAGAAATTAGTTAAAATTACACCTAAAGCACTGTTGGAAAGGTCCTTGCTACTCAATCTGTCAACAAGAAAATTTGAGTTTAGAGTCCAGAGAGATCTATTTAAAAGTTATGAAGAAAATTTTTCTGAGTGATCATTTGTGATTCTGTATTCTTTTCTCTCCTGGTTTGATTCTTCATCTGTTTAAACATTATCCAAACAAGGGCAAACAGATGAAAAGTAAACTCAATGTAAAATGGAACCCAAATGAACAGTGAGGAACCCAAAATAATTCCAGGAGTGAGCATGAGGAGAAAATTGAGTTTCTGTAAACATAATTGTGCAAGAAACAATTATTTTTTAGCTTACAAATTTCTGTGGGATTCTAGATTTTTCTCCCATCCTGCATCAGGATTAAACTGAAGCCCTTAAAAAAAGAAAAAGAAATAAGGGAGAAACACTCATGCATATGGAATGGCACGTGCTTACTGTGCACAAGTCCATTTTGCAAGGCAGGCAGAATGAATGAATTTTGCAAGGCAGTCTGATGAATCCTACTGCTGACACGATTTTGGTTTTGTGCTTTAATCTCACTTATCTGACCCTCTCCACTTCATATGGCAATAGAGACTCAATATTTACAATACCTTTCTGAATATGAGTGTCCTAATCATCAAACCTGCAACTAGTCTCTGGCTCTGTATTTCAAACTCATCCTTAGGAAATCTCTGTTAGTCTGAAACTGCAAACTAAATATGCCAAAAAAGGAATGATGTGAACACAGGCCCTCTTACATATCACATGAATATCTGACTAAGGATACCTGATGTGCTTGATGTCTTCTTTATTTTTTTTTTCTCATTCTGATTGGAAATATATTAACTGTTAATCTGAGATCATGTACCTCACAGCCATTCAATTCATTTTTGTTTCTATGCCAGAGTAACAGAAAGATGCCAGCAGGAGCAGTTCAAGGTGACCACAATCTTGCATACATCCTTGAAGAAACTTGCATGTTAAAGAAGCTACATTTACAATTAGGACAGGGGAGTCCAAACTTTTTTGAAGATAAATTTGGACACACATCTAAGGGCGCTCTAGCTTTAAAAGAGCAAGCAGATGATACTCTAGAGTTTGTATGTATTTGGACAGAGCACTTTGCCATTTCAGGTCATCTATATGCTCTATAATAAAGTGAGAACTCTTGGCTTTCTGGGGCCATTTTTTTATAGATCTTTGCAGCTACTAGCAGGAAATTCTGGAAATTAAAGGCAATCTGTATACCTGATATAAAATCATAGAATCATAGAATGGTTTGGGTTAGAAGGGACCTTAAAGATCATCTAGTTCCAAATCTCCCCCAAAATATTCAAGTGACTACAGAATCTCTCTTACATTTGCAGTGTATTGACAGAATATCTCCTAAAGGTAAAAGGCTGTTGCTGTTTCTGTTAATACAAACCTTACAGGGCTCAGTCTCTCAGGTTTCTTGCAGTGGCTGGCAGACCTGGCAGTGGGTGACTGGGAACCCACACTGCTCATTGCAGCAGTGGGCACTCCTGGCCACCTTCATGATGTTCTGCTTGGAGGGTGGGCTGTGGAGCAGGAGTATTTCCACCACCAACAGCCCTGCTCCAATTCTCTTCCCCTCTCACTACAACCTCAATTACACACTTTGAAGAGAAAAAGCAGAAAGGAAGAGCCTGGTTACCACTCGAACCCTTGTTAGGCTGCAAGAAAGGATGTCCTGCCATTCAAATCTCACTTACATGGGGATTAGCCGAACTCCAGATGGAGTATTTATGAGAACAAAGACTGCATGAAAAATCCATATTTATATATTTAAAATGTTTGTAGAGGCAGCTTCCATGGATCAACAAAAGTCTTCCTTGAATATTTATGAAGAAACCAGATGACACACAAACAGCTCTTTTGTTTTCCAGACTGCAGGACTGGTTATGAAGTTCCAAGAAAACAGACATGTAAGGAGTTTCCCTTCTACTTTAGGCTTTAAATTACCATTCTTGCCAAAGGCAGTGATATATGCACCATGTTTGCATTCTGCAACTTACGTTCTGTGATAATGAGACAACATTTTAATCCTCATTCACTTATTTTTTGGACTGACATCTGAACATTAATGTCAGATTCATGTGTTAATATCATGTGGTGTATGGGCTTTATTTTATTACCTCCTTTCTGCTAGAATAAATGAATTGAGTATGGAAAATGTATCTATCATTAATGCTGGTTTTAAACTGTTTGTAGTAATATAGGACACAAAGTAGAGCTCTTTTTTTAACATAAAAACACTCCTATCAGGACCACTATTTAATTATATCAGCAACTGTAGCTAAATCACAAGTGCTTTTTAAGAGGAATTTCTCTGCGGTATAAGGACTCAAGCAAAAAGAAACAGAAGTAAAAATAATATTTTCTTTTTCCTTTTTAAATGGAAATTTTCAGGCATCAGAAACCATTTGAGTATCAAAGACATAAATGCCTGATAATAGTATACTAGATATATGCAGATCTTTCAAGAATTTACCCGTCTGTATTCACTGCTAAAAGTTGCTATAAAACAAAATCTATATTTGCACATATTACATACACGAGTGTAAGATGTATTTGTACAGAAAGATGTATTTGCACAGAAAATATGCTTCTATGGAAAATGCCATTATTACCATTATAATTACAAGTTTATGGGGTAGTGGATAGAATAAAACAGTAACTATACTTAAAGAAGTTTTAAGTTATACATAAAGACTTCAAGAATCTTTAGAGAAAGGACAATACAATCTTAAGTGCTCATTCAATTGTTAGGCATTTGAATGACTTATGAATTTTCCACATTGTAGAATCATTCATCTACAGAAATGCATTGTTAGAAAGTATGAGGACAGCATCACATGCTGTTATGAACAGAAGAGTATAGAAAGGTATAATAAAAATTTTCTTAGAATTCTTATTTAACCTCATGCTCTTTCATGATTAGCTCACCAGAAACATTGTGGTAATAAAAGTCTATCTTTGTTTATCTAGGATCTCTGGTTGCATTTGCATTCTTCCATAAATGTTTTCGTCCAAAGAATGGGCCCAAAGGTATCATGCCATAGGTTGTCTAAACAACTTCTATTTGATTCTTTCTAGAATTATACACTTTGATATGTGTGTAGTTGTTGGTATTTGATCATAATAAAAACTGTGCACTACAGTAAGATATTTTACAGATTGATAGAAGTATACCTCTTAAGGATTTGTTCACAGTCACATGACAAAATTCATACTAACTTCAATGGCGTAAGGGTCTTCAAGCATTTTATTCTCCTCAATATAAGAGATTGAGAATCAGTTAACAAAGTTTTATACACTCAAAAGACACAAGCTGATTTTCCTCCTACTCCTGCTCTCATTTTAATTTTTTTGTTGCAGATGATTACAAGAGATCAAACAAGCAAACCTAAGCAGTTGCCATCTGGCAGATGAGGACCTGTACCTGCTTTCTTTACTCCCTTGTTTGGGCAAACGTTTTATTTCACTGTGGGGACAGGTTTAATGCAAACATATACAACCAGTCACTCCATCTCACCTGACAGGCAATAACTTTTTATGCCATTTACAAGTGCAGCAACACGCCCCATGTAACATGCCAATCTAAAAACACCTTTCACAATGCTCACCTGGAAAGTTTAAACTCTTCCTTTCCAGGTTGTTTAAAATATCCTTTACTTGAGCCAAATAAAATGACTGCAGGAGTCGAAGACTGGCAAAAGTACTCTGGCTTATTAAGCACAGAGAACTAAAACAAACAGGTGACAGTATTTCCCCACAGTACAGTAAAAAGCTTGTCTGAGTGACTTACCATCTCAGGCATGCAAAAAACACTTCAATTGCTATGTACAAATTTTATCTACATGATCCATGATTTTATTCAGTCAATCTTATTTGAGTTGTAAGAACATGTCCAAACTCTGATGTAGCAGAACTGGGAATGATTTAACTTAGAAACATGCTTACATGCCATTTTTTTCTAGCTTCACAGATACAAATAGCTTTACATTATAAACAAAAACAAGTAACAAGTGGTTTATACATGAAGGTTCCAAAATTAGACAGACAAATTATTTTTCTTTAATGCCTTAAACATACAACTTGGGAACACAAAAAAATAATATAACAAAATGAAAGGATTATATATAGCGAAGATGGCATTCAGACCAATGTGGGAAGGTATTGTGTGGTTCTTTGCATTCACTGCAATGACACCTTGGTGTCTCTGTGAAAACACCAACTGAAAGAAATCTTTTTTTTTACAGTAAGATACAGGAAGGTTTTGTAATATTTTTACAGATCTTATAAAGAAAAAAATTCCTCATTATTATGATGTAATTAAAGCACTGGCTCTGCTGAAACACCAGAGGGAGCAAGTTTCACAGAGGAGTGAAGACTTTTATTGAAAACTCTCCTGGCTACTAACCCTGTTCCATCATTTAGTAGGATGCAAAAGAATTTAGTCAGATTACCTGGAATGGTTGGGAATATGCCCCTGAAGCAAAGCCCTTCAACTTGTGATGAAACATGGAACAAGGAGCCACTAAAGAGAAGAAAAAGTGAGGATGTGCATAATTTGGACAACTGCAGGGTTTTATTCACAAAGCTGAAAAATCTGTTACTGACTATGGGATGAAAAATTGACAGCCTTGACATCTTTGCCTAATGCAGATTACTTTGGTACTGGCTGTTTTTTAAAAATTGACTCACACTCCTTGTTTACAGCACAACGACACAGACTCAGTTGTGAAGTAACAACTACTCTGAAAGAAGACTAAAACAAGACCCATAGATATGACCAAAGTCAAGTCCACCCATGCAATGAACTGAATTACTTGGAAAAAACACATTCTCTTTGTTCCTTCACTAGGGACAAAATCTAGGCAAGGCTCAAAGAAAAAGACCCACAAATCAGTTGTCTCTATCATGATTCACATCTGAAAAACCTAGACCTGACTCAGAAAGGACCTTGCTGCTGAGTTTTAATTGAGAACTGAAACTTTTCAGCTGCTCCTAAGGACTGACAAAGTGAAAATGTATGCCTGCATTGTTAATACAGTGTAAAATTTAGCAATGATAAAAATCCTCCTATGTCATTACACTGGGCCCAGGCTTGGTCAAAAGACACTGCCACCCACTACATGGTGAGATTCCAAGGGATTCTTATCCCAGATGCTACCCTGTTGCTGGTGGTGCCCTGCTGCAGGAGAGACCTCTAAAGCCAGGGGCAGCCTTTACATTACCGTTACTGCAATTTTTCCTCATAAAGACTTTTTCATCATTCACATCATCTTATTCCTTCCTGCTCTCTCCAGTGAATGGTGCTTGATCCAAACTGTTAGCCAGTCACTCAGTATACACAGTATGCACAGGAAGGGCTGTTTCAAACCAAAGAAAACAGTTTGTCGTGTTTTTGGAGTCTGCATTCAACCTAAGAACAATGAGTTTCAGAAAAGAGGGAGGAGGAGGAGGAGGAGGAGAGGAGAAAGTCATAGGGGTAAGCCAGGGAACGAGAGGGAGAAGGGAAAAAGCTGCCTTTTGAGTGAGTAAGGTTTCTGGTCAGGGAGTAGCAACAGCAGTAGAAAGTAGAAATCACAACAGGTACTTTTGGAGCTGGTCTGATTGGTACTGTAGTGGCAAACCAACTCTTTCACTCCAAATGCATTATGATCCCATGAGAGAAAAGCATCCCAGGGATTGATCACCACAATTATTACAAGAAGCAAAGATCTGGGTGCAGGAGCAAGCAAAAAGAATGCCTAAAAGACAGTACTTTGCAACATGTCCTGTAGCTGTGTTTAAGTCAGTTAAAAGTCTGCCTAACAAAAAAGTAACAGAGAATGCTTTATTGCCCCAACCACCTCTAGGCAGCATTAGGAGGATTTCTAATGCCTCGACACAAAGTACTTTTCTGCTTCCAAAGTACATGCTGAAAAAAGGAAAACTGTCACAGTGTCTGTCAACATGAAGGCTGCTGGGGTGCAAGCACAGCCTTGTGACTGGGGCAGTACAGGAGACAGATGCATGCATGAAGAAGGTCACACACTGCCAGACCTGCCCTCTGTAATGGAGATTTTTAGAAGGTCATTGTCCATCACTCACTGCATGATTTCTCTGTTCAGGGTACATCACCCCTACACCACCCACATGGCTCTTTAGAAATCTTGGAGGTCACGAAATGAGATTTAAGGAACCCAAAGTGAACACAAACCATGACTTCTTGGACTCTGTTCACAAGCTACATCCTTGTATCTCCTTCCCATTATTTTGTGACTTGAAGGCCTGTTGTTGAGGTAATAATAAGCTGTGAAAAACTGTGTTGAACTTCTTAGACTTGCCTTCATAACTAGTTTGAAGTTCTGAGCTTTACTTCACAGCATGCAAAAAGGATATAGGGCTCTTGTAACCCAGTGACCATTGCATTTTTTCAGCTCTGACAAACAACATGGAAGCCCTTCATTCTGGATGTACCTTTTTATACCAGACTCAGAGATTCAGTGAAGATATGTGAGTTTAAAGCTTTTATGAGAAGCCACTTGAGTTCTCTTTGAATCATTGATGTCTACCTTGTCTAACTGGAGCTCCTATGTTTGCTGATGGATCTGACAAAGTGGCAGGTTGTGGTGAGAGGGCTCCAGGCCAGCACTGTTAGCAGCCCTCATCCAAAGAATGACCACTGATACCATGACAGCCACCTCTGGGTGGGACAGCCTTGCAAAACAACTTTTTCTAATGCATCTTTTCCTCAGAGAAATGCTATTGTAACTGTAGTTTCCAACTTGAACAGCTCCATTACAAAATTGGTATACCAGCTCTATGGAAGAACAATGAGTTTTTAAAGATTAGAGGCTAGATTCAAAAGAAAGAAATGTAACTCTGATTCCGCAAACTCCACAGAGTGTATTCCCCTCCTTGTGGTAAGCAGAGAGGTCACTGCAATTAGGAAGTTTGTACTTCACCTGACCCTAATGGATAAACTTAGTAGCTGTTGGATCACTTCACTTGTCCTTTTTAAACTCCAAAGAAGAAGCTGTCTGGCACTTCAGCAGGCTACTGAGATCCGGCAGCACTGTCACCGCCTCCCAACTTAAAACAATCTTTTCCAGCACTTTCACATACCACACAGGTCTCGTAGTTCAACTCTCAAGCTCCCAGAGACCACAAAATATTTGGCAGTGCAACAGGTCTAAGAACTTTCCTGTTTGGTTTTGCTCAGAGCTCTATAAGGCATAGTTGGTGCAAATGCACAGAAGACTTAAAAGGATTTCAGCAGTGGTGTTGTCCCTTGGGTTTTGATTTCTCTCTCTCTCTCTCTCTCTCTCTCTCTCTCTCTCCCTCTCTCTCCTTGCAGGCAGTTGGCTGGTATCCTTCAGCTGTTTGGAGGTTAGTTTGCCTCTGAAATACGCATTAATGCCTCAAAATGGCTCTCATACTGGAAGGTGGATTCATGCCATATGCCCAGTGATTGGATGTATTTCACACTGTTTTCAAATTTATCAGCAAGATAGTTCCAATCACCTGAGATTGATGTAAGTTACCACAGTGATAATTTTGTGTTAGAGTAATTATGAGGCTTCCTGACAGATATGACACTTACAATTCTCCAAAACCAGCACATGATCATTATCTTGTTTGTTTGTTTCTTTGTTTTGTCAGAAAATCAGTTTCCACCATGATCAATATTTAGCAGACACTTATCTGCTTTAAATGGAAAATGATTTAAAACCGTTCTTCAGCCTACTGAAACTGCAAACATAATTTATGGTTCCTTTTCCTCTCCTAAATATTTAGATTTTTTTCAACTTCTTTTTAAAAAGAATTTGATCTCTTTTTCCTAAGTTTGATAGCAGTTACAAAGTAGCTGGCATTGCAGAGAGTCAGATCCCATACAGTTAGATATGGTATCCCATCAGCATTCTTTCTTTTGTTTTTTTATCCTCATTAAAAAGTAGTACAATAACAACATTATACATCCAATTTCAAATAACTTTATACATTTGGTTGTAAGAATTCAGGTTTATATTTAGCAAGAAAATTTATATTTAGTAGGCAAGTTTTTATTTAGCAAATCTCTGCTTCAGACTTATAAAGCAGTTTTAGTAACTTCAAGCTAGGTAAATGCAAAAATAAATGTACCTTAAAGCATCTATTTGATAGAAAAATGTATGCAAATAACATATAATTTTATTTTTTTTTTGTTTTATGAGGGGAGTTGTTTATATTGTCTAACTTTTCCAAACCAGTTTTCCTACTTTATTAAAGCAGAAACTGAGACAGATACAGGTGGGTGTTTTAGAACAAAAATTTAATGCCAGTGCTAGCTCTGTAGAGAGAATATCACAGAAAGCTTACTACTAATGTTCTACTGGCAGCTAATTGCTTCTGCTTGGGCTATATAATTAGCAAACTGAAGTACACTGAATAAATAAATGTTTTAAAATCTAAACAAGTCACCTTTTAAGTTACTTCGTACATCCCAAGAAATCCTGAAACAATTCACTGACAAGACTTATCCAAAGACAACAGAAAATATTTTCTAGTTCATGAGGTCAGGCGTAAGTCGTTAGCGATCAAACAGACTTTTCATTACTAGTTTGTGGGATCTAGTAATCATATTTTTCTTGAATGGTTTTCTTTTCCAGAACTGAGAAGTATTGGTTTCCTTCTCTCCTCTGCTAATGACTAAGATGTAGTGGCTCTGCTAGGATGGTCAGAGGCAGGGAGACAGGAAAAAAGTTTGTTGTCTCCCACAGAGATTCTTTTCTCCAGACAATTTCAATGTGGCGCGAAAGCAAGCCCTGTCCAGGTCAGCTTTAATAGGAAAGAAAATTCTCACCAGGGATTGTGGCTACCCTCAAGACTTCATTTAAATCTCTCGGGAGAACAAATATAAATCCCATTAACAGCTTGCTATACTTTTTCTTTCAAAACCAAAGCCCTAGTGTGCTTTGTAATGTAGACAAATAGCTAGGATGTTGAGATTACTACTGTATTTTTAATTAATGAAATCTAAACAAGCAAAAAAATAGAATATTATTTTAACTGCAAAGAGGTACTAAAACTGCAAAGAGGTACTAAAACTCAGCATCTCTACTTCTCCATTATTCTTTTCCTACTAGGAAATCTAGAAATAAAAATTAATAAATCAAACACTAACACTGTTGCTTTATTAAAATGAATGTTTTTTTCTTTTTAATTACAATGAGAATGTCCGCTTGTTATCATTCCTCCCAGGAACCAGAATATTACTCACTTTTCCTTAGGGGAAGAGAATACTGCTGCAGTTGCAATACAAGCACCTTTGTCATCCTAATACCTTCACTAGGTGCTTTCTCTATTATTGCTATCTCTTTATTCTCCTTAGAATAGGCAGGTAAGTTCATGTACGTGTAACAGGATAAAATCTAAACTTCACAGACTATTACATCAGATCTGTCCTCTGGCAGATCACCCAATATAATTCAATTTTGCACCAGGTCAGGTGTGGACATAATCACATCACTTTCACATTTCACAAAGCACGCTATAATAAGCTCTTTATGGTGACATTATGATTTTGTGCTGGTTTTATGCTAAATGCATAAATACCTGCTAAATGATCAAATACCTGATACTTTATAAAGCCGAGGTGATGGAAGCCTTAAAGAAACCCTGCTGGGACAAAGCTAACCTGCTGATATTTCTGGAGAGAAATCTTATATTCAGTCTGATGTTCTGGATCAGGCACTAGAAGCCTTAAAGCAGCATCAGTTCATCACTGAACATGACAGCACACACATTTAGGTTCGACTTAAAAGAAAGTATTTGAAGATGTTTATACTCAGACACTACGGATGTTCCTAACTGCTCCCTTCTACAGTTGTTCACAATTACACCAGTTTTGGAACATCTACAATGGTTTCTATTGGACTGCAAACACTGTTTCTGTGAAAGCTTTGCTTTGTTTGAGCTTCTGTACTGATTATCCCAATTTTTTTCTCTTTGCTGAGGGAACATTTGCAGGTGCAAACAGAATGCTGGTAAAGTCCTGTATCTATAGGAGACCACGGAGAAGAGCAATGCCAAGAACTCCTGTCTGTCACCCAGATCTTCCAGGACAGGTTTTCGTTGTCTTCATCCCAGTGTCATGAAGAAGAATCAGAACTTCCCAAGGCAGTTAATGCCACTGACAGGTCACTTCTGGGATTGGTCTTAAACAAGAGCTTTCCCCTGAGTTACATAAACAGTCCCAGATACGTTATGTGTGGCTACACCGTAATTGCTGGGTAAGCGAAGAAGGAGAATGAGAAGTTTTTCTCTGGGACATGGAAATTTCCCAGCTCTGCAAGATGAGGAGAGGACTGACTCATGAGTCACTGCTTTGGTAAAAACCTAGCCTAGTAAAAGAACACTCCTTTAGGATGGGAATCACCCCACCTAAGGCTGACAATCCCTAAATCTGTGCAGGATGGCAAGGCTTCTTTTATAGTCGGTGGAGACAAACGCACGTCTCTAGCATGCCGCTCCTCCCACCCTCATGTACACAAATGTCTAAAATAGACCATGAGTCACACGCTACAAATGCCTGTTTCTTTCCTTTGGTTCAAAAAAGGAATTTAGACAACAAATGCCTAACTGTTGATGTCCATCCAGTGTTCAGATGCATGAAAGCCAGTCTGGCTGGAAGGATGCCATTTGCTTAGCTGGGCTAATTAAATATGAATATCTCTAAAACAGGACATAGCAAACAATGACCAGGCAGGAATGAATTGGATTGATGAATATTGAAGAACTAGAGGCATCAGACTGTCTGAATATGAATTATTTTCTTTTCTGTCCTCTTCTTCCTCTCTTTCACAAGAGATGAACATTGACTATGCACATAAAAAGGACATGCCCCAAATCTTGACTGTCTTCTGCAAATACCCATAATTTGGGGAAAATGAGATGATGTAGCCTGAATACAGCCGTGGGAGAGGTCATGGAGACGAAAGAAAGCTTTGAACTAATATTTATGCTAAGCAAAGTTATGTGGGCTTACTCCTTTTACTAGCACTCATTTTTCTCATTAAACATTGCAACTATGACCTTTATTTCAAATTCTGAAAATAATTATCTTTTAGATAAAATTAAAATCTCTTTTAGATTATGTTAAACTGAATGAAAACAAAACAAAACAGGGTAACCAGCTGATCCCAGTCCTAAACATCAGGATATCTCAGCAGGTAACAGCTGTTTCTGCTTCATTCCATAATCTTGATTAAGAAACTGGTGACCTCTGACTGGCATGCAAAGCCTTTTGCATTCAGCAAATGGTGCAGCATATTTCCAGTGGGGCTTATAACAGCCTCTTTTCGCATTTGCAAAAGGGAACATTGGCTTCTCTACTTCATTAGCAACTTTCTAAATGTAGACAGCAAAAGTGTTTCTCATGGGAGAGTCAATGTTGTGGGGAACGTGTCTACAGGCATTTGCTCTTTCCTTTCCACATCCATCTGGAGAACTTAGAGTACAATAATTCTGTAATTGTTACTGAGCAATGTGATGCCACTGCAGTGTTTTCTTATATTTCCTATGCAAAATGCCTTTTAGTCAACTACTGTTAATGACTTAAAATAGTGTTTTGAAAAGTTGCTTGGTCACTAATATCAAGACCTTTTTCTTTCTACCTAAGTAATGATACAGTCACCGAAAACAAGCTTTGATTAACCAGAAACTCTCTTAAAAGTGTGCAAGTAATATAAGCTTAATTTTACTATTAAAAGTGCAGAGCTATTTATTTTACCAGTAAAATAAACTACTTCGCAGAGAGGACATACTTTAAAACACCTTTTCAAGAGCTCCCTTGAGATTTACTTGAAAATATTAGTCCTGTCAGACAAAAAATAAAAATGGGCACCTGAATTTCTTTATATCGAATATTTAAATATTAATTAGAACTTGCACCTCAAGGAAAGGGAAATCCCTGTACAGGTCTCCAGATCCAAATCGAAAAATAACAATATTTGAAAAAGCAGAAAGCCTAAAACGACGGGATAAAAAAACACCCTAAAACTTTAAATGGCAAAATTTTCCTTGGAAAAAAAGACATTCAGGGAAATGCCAAAAACTTTTTCATCTGCTGGGGAAAAAAAAGTAGCTCTATCAAAGAAGATGAAATACCATAGTAGAGATCAATATGTGATCCCCAAATTAAATGGAAATCTTCAGTGAAGTCAGTGTGGTGAGACAAATATATGCCAATAATCATAGTCAAGGGATAAGCAAAGCTTAAAGAGCTTAATGCGCTTGAGTCTACTCACAAGCCCACTTTCACCTAAGAACCCTGAAAAATGGCTATGTATTACCAGATTCAATAGAAAGATTTTTAACAAAGATGTTACCTAGGTAGAGCTGCAAAATATGCTCAAATCATAACAGGATTTGTGCCAACAGAGAATAAAAGGTGACTTAAAATTCTTTATCCTTTTACACCTCAGGCTCTATGTTAATCTTATCATAAAATTTGAAGGAAAGAATAATTAATGGCTTGAAGGTAAATGGACAATAGAATAAAATGTAACATGGCTTTAGTAAAGGTAGGTCATGTCAGAGTAGCCTGATAGGATACCTTTTTTCAGACAAAAGAACTGCACAGAGAGATTAGATTTTATCTGAACTTCAGCAGAACATTTGGTAAGGTGTCACAATGGAGATTACCTGATAAACTGGTAAAAAAGAAGGCTACAATAAGACTATGAAGGTGCTGACTAAAGTGACTCTTGCAGAGGAAATGCCAAGGAAGTGTGCTGAAATAGGAACTTCTGGGCTAAAACAGATTACTCCAGTAGGGCTTCTCCTGAAGCAGTCTTGGCATTCATTTTGTTTACAATTTTACTTTTGTGATTTCACCCCTAAAATAGGAACAAATGCAAGAAGTCCAAAAAAAAAAAGAAAAAAGAGTAGCACTGCCACCATGAAGGGGGAAGAACACCATACAAAGGAAAAAATGGACTGGAATAGTAAACGGGATGAAAGAACAAAGTACAGTGTCCCCCAGTTAAGATGGGATTCATCTCATCCAATCCATCTAAAACCGTTTTATCTTCACAGCTGTTGAGTCTCCTTGTATAATCACTAGAAAGATGTGATGAACAAATCCGCTGGTAATTTTATATTATTTACTTTAGACATGTCTAAATGGGATAAATGGAGATTCTTTGGAGATTCTTCCATCTTTCTATAGTCATCCATAAAGGATATTTGGAAGACTTCCTTAGGTGCCTAACTTTTAAACTTCTCAAATTTGATGTGAAGAATCTCCCTAAGGACTGTTGCAAAACTACTTTTCAGCAGCTCATCAGCCAGAAATCAGGGAGGAGGTAAACATGCCTTTTTTTCTGACACAGAACTCTTTAAAACACAAATAACTTCAGACATGCTACACCAGGTAAATTCAATTGAAGCAGCAAAGAGTAAAAACAACAACAACAAAAAGAGTAAAAAAAAAAGCAAAGTGTAAAAACACTAGTGAGATCTCATCTGAGTCAATATCTGTCTGTCCATATTCTCCAAGAGTCTTTCAGAATACAGCTTGTCTTGCAAGAAAACACTGCAAGAGCAAGAACTGTATGAATATTAAATACATCATATCATTAGACCCTACCCTGCAAGGGAGGACAATTTAATCCTAAAAAGCACAAGAGCAACAGGCTAAAAGCTTACCATGAACAGATTTAGCCTCGGAACTTTCTAAACCATGAGAACAGTGAGGTTATGGGACTGCCTTCCAGAAAAGCTACTGAAGGCCAGAAGCCTGAAGAGTTTTAAATGAGCTGGACAGTTTCATGAAATAGATTATATGATGCAGAGCCTGAGAAGAGGTTTGCCAGGAGAATCTTGCTAGCTTTATGTTTGCTTGAAAGAAGACTCAAAAAGCTAAATTCCTAACTATAATTTGGAAATGGGATGAAATGCCCTGGAAAACCTTTATTTTATACTTTAACAGTACCAAAAAGACACCTTCCAAGCTCTTAAAATATTTTTCCAGTGTACCTTAGTATATTTATACAGATTTTCAAAAGGAAATAACAGATTTGTCAATTCTGATGACAGTAACAGAACCAAATGCCTGAATTCAAACCTAACATTTTTCTTTATGGGGGCATGTTAATCTAATCATATAAAACATTTGGTTGTTGGTTTGATTTATTTATTTAGTTAGTTTTTTAGGAAAGAAACAAACATAAATAAGCCTTCCATTGAAATATGTTCAAATGCACTATTTCTTTACAAGGTTTTTTTTCATTTGGACAGATCAAGCATATTGACTTTTTATGAAAGAACTTTTTTTCACTTTTTTTCCCTGAGTGTCTGTAATATATCCACATTCTTAATCAAATTATGTAACTAGTGAAATAATATATCATAATTGAAATAAATTTTGTAATGATTTTTTTTCAGTAACTGTCTTTTTGCAATTTCCCATTAAATAGAAGGTTCATTAGAAATTCATTATGAGATAAAACGACTTAATTTCTGATGTCCTAATCCAAATTTGAAAGAGAGCTTGAAGAATTTAATTTAAAAAAATTATTTAAAAAGCCTACTACATGTAGGCTAAACCTGCTGATGGTTTTGTAGCACGTCCAGTTTGAATCATCACAGTGTAAGTAAAGAGTTAACAACTGTGAATAATCAGATTTTATTTCTTCCCCTAGGAATTCAAATCTCACATTGTCATTTTGCCATATGTCTGTCACAACTGTAGCTGTATCAACTGGTTATGGACTGAATCTACTCTTCTCTTATAAATGCATCTTCTTGTAGTACAGATCTGGGGAAGCACATGCTGAAACAAGCACTTAATGACAAAAATATCGGAACTGTAAAATTATGATAAAAAAGAAAATTGTTACTCTTCAATTCCCAACTTTACATTACCTCACCCAAGAAAAAGCACATAGTTAATAAAAAAATATCAATAGTATGTTTATTGGCAGTCCAGGCTAGGAAAAATTAAAAGTAAAAACTGAAAACTACCAGTTTCACCTTTCCAAGTAGACTTGTATTCAAAGCTTTCTTAGGCAGATCTTAAGGCAAACAGACTGATCTCTAATGAAAGATGAAAACTAAATCATGAAAGAGAATTTGTACACATTCAAAATTTCCCAAAGGAACATGTTTTGGATAAAATGTATTTATCATCATAATTAACAGTTGCATTAAAAAAAAAGAACATTGAGAAGGCTTTTGAAGACAGGAAAAAGAAAATGCATAAACTCTAACTCAGAAAAAGTGAAAAAACCCTCTTCTTACAAAGGCAATGTCTATCTATTTAAACTAAAACATTTTTTAGATCAATGGTACCCAGCCTCACTGTTTTTTTGGCCACCGTCTGCTTGTTTTCCATGATGATTTAATTTTAACAGCAATTTTGCTGCCTCCAGAAACTGTGCAGAAAAATTCGCAGAAACACATGTGGGACCAAACAAAAAAGATTCTGTTTAAACAGAGTAAGATCTTCAGTGATCACTTCTCTGCCTCCATCAGAATTACACACTCAATGGCAAAAGGAAGATAAAGCAATGAAAAATTTCTACTTCAGTTAAGGATCTGGCCTCGAGTTCTTCCTCCTTAGCAACTGAAAATCCCAAGCATTGTGATTATTTGTTTGTTCCACTACAGTAGATTTGGATCCTATGTAATCATGCTTAGCTGGGGAAAAAACCCACCCCAACTCTAAATATACTAATGTTATTGAAAACTGGGATGCAGTCACAAGGAACTTAGTGCAATTAACAAAGAATAATAAGCAATCTACCTAGGAACAAAACATGTCAAAAGTCAACTCAAGTATTTTATACTGTCTATTGGTTTGCACAGCAAGGTTTTGGTAGCAGGGTGTTACAGGGATGGCTTCTCTGAGGTGCTGCTAGAAGCTTTCCCTGAGTCTGACAAAGCCAATGCCAGCCGGCTCCAGGACAGACTCGCTGTTTGCCAAGGCTGAGCTCATCAGTGACAGTGGTAGTGCCTCTGGGATAACAGATTTAAGAAGGGGCAAAACTGCTGTGCAACAGGAATTGCAGCCAGAGAAGAGGAGTGAGA